CAAATTCTGTCTGAAATTATTGATTCAAGATTTGTATATAGGTATCACATTTACTATTTTCCACTTATCTGGTACAATGTCCATTTATAGTGATTTGTTAGCCTAGCTAATGATTTACTTAGTTCCTCCTTACATTCCTTTATAACCCTTGAAAACCTCTGACCATGGCCCATCCACTTATTTGGTTTTAACCTATCTATTTGTCACTAGTCACCTAGATTTTGCATAATTTTTTTTTGTCTTGACCTGTATAAGGACTGATTTCTGAAATTTCTTTTGTCCCCTTGTGTAAAAACAGGGAGGAAATGAGTGTTAGAAAATGGTACACATTTCTGTCCTTCATTCTTCCATTCACTTAGAGATTAATAATTTTATATAAAGTGTGTTAATTTAATGAATCTGCTTAACTGCTAGTGAAATATTGCTGCAGTGCTGTAAGTTAATTTTTTGTTTTAACATGCCAGCTGTCTCCCACCAAAGCAGGGTGACCCAAAAATGAAAGAAACACTTTCACCATCATTCATACATAATCAATGTCTTTGCAGAGGTGCCTAGATATGATAGTTTACATGTCACTCCAAACAGCCAAAATCTCAAACCCCTCCTGTAAAGTGTAGGCATTGACTGTACTTCCCACCTCCAGGACTTAAGTCCAGCTAACCTGTTTCCTTGAATCCCTTCACAAAATATTACCTTGCTCACACTCCAACAGCTCATCAGGTCCCAAAAATCATTTGTCCCCATTCACTCCTATCTAACATGCTCACACATGCCTGCTGCATGTCCAGGCCCCTTGCACACAAAACCTCTTTTAACCCCTCTACCCCTCCTCCCTTCCATTACACCTTCCCAAGTCATTCTGTTTTGTTCCATCCTCTCTAAATGACCAAACCACTTCAATAACCCCTCTTCAACCCTCTGAATATTTTTTGTGACTCTACAGCTCCTCCTAATTTCCACAACGAATTCTCTGCATAATATTTACACCACACATCACCCTTAAACACGACATCTCCACTGCCTCCAGCCTCCTCGCTGCAGCATTCACAACCCATGCTTCATACCCATATAAGTGTTGGTGCCACCATACTCTCATACAGTCCCTTCTTTGCCTCCATGGAAAACATTTTTTGTTTCCACAGACACCTCAATGAACCACTCACCTTTTTTCCTTCATCAATTCTATGGTTAACCTTGTCCTTCATAAAACCCATCTGCTGACAAATCTGAACACAATCACTTCTTCCATACTCCCTGCCTCCACTGTGGTATCCAATTTTTCTGTACCTAACTCATTTGATACCCTCATCACCTTACTCTTATCTATGTTCACTTTCAAATTTCTTTCTTTACACAGCCTCCCAAACTCGTCCACTAACCTCTGCAACTTTTCTTTAGAATCTCCCAAAAGCACAGTATCATCAGCAAAAAAGTACCTGTGTCAACTCCCATTTTGTATTTGATTTCTCATAATTTAATTCCACCCCTCTCCCCAACACCCTAGCATTTATTTTTTTACAACCTCATCTATAAATATATTAAACCATGGTGACATTACACATCCCTGTCTAAGACCTACTTTTACTGGGAAGTAATCTCCCTCTCTCCTACACACCCTAACCTGAGCCTCACTATCCTCATAAAAACTCTTTACAGCATTTAGTAACTTACCACCTATTCCATACACTTGCAACATCTGCCATATTGCTCCCCAATCCACCATATATGCCTTTTCTAAATCCATATATGCAATGAAAGCTTCCCTACCTTTATCTAAATACTGTTCACCCTGCCTCGGTGGGAGACGGCCAACTTGTTGAGAAAAAAAAAAAAAGTTTCAACGTAAACACTTGATCTACACATCCTCTACCCATTCTAAAGCCTCCCTGTTCATCTGCAATCCTGCTCTCTGTCTTACCTCTAATTCTTTCAATAATAACCCTACCATACACTTTACCTGGCATACTCAGTAAACTTATTCCCCTATAATTTTTACGATCTCTTTGTCCCCCTTTCTCTTTATATAAAGGGACTATACATGCTCTCTGCCAATCCCTAGGTACCTTCCCCTCTTTCAAACATTTATTGAACAAAAGTACCAACCACTCCAACACTATATCCCCCCCCCCTGCTTTTAACATTTCTGTCATGATCCCATCAGTTCCATCTGTTTTACCCCCTTCCATTCTACATAATGTCTCACGCACCTCCCCTACACTCACATCCGGCTCTTCTTTACCCCTAAAAGATGTTATACCACCCTGGTCAATGCATGAAATTACTGCCTCCCTCTCTGCAACAATATTTAACAGTTCCTCAAAATATTTCCACCATCTTCCCATTATCTCCAACTCCCCATCTACTAACTCCCCTATTCTGTTTTTAACTGTCAAATCTATTCGTTCCCTAGACTTTCTTAACCTATTTATCTCACTTCAAATTTTTTTCTTATTCTCAGCAAAATTTGTTGACAGTGCCTCACCCACTCTATCATTTGCTCCCCTTTTGTACTTCCTCACCACTCTCTTCACCTCTCTTTTACTCTTTATATACTCCACCCTTCTAATATCACTTCTGCTCTGTAAAAATCTCTCATACATGACCTTTTCTGTTTTATCACACCCTTTACCTTATCATTCCATCAATCACTCCTCTTTCCCCCTGCACCCACCCTCCTATAACCACAAACTTCTGCTCCACATTCTAACACTACCTTTTTAAAACTATCCCACCCCTCTTCAACCTCCATAATACCTATATTCTCATTGGGCCACCTTTCTCCCAATAGCTGCTTATATCTCACCCTAACTTCCTCCTCCCTTAGTTTATAAACTTTCACCTCTCTCTTACTTGCTGTTGCCATATTCCTTTTGCTCCATCTACCTTTTACTCTAACTGTAACTATGACTAAATGATGATATATCTTTTGCTTCTCTATAAACATGTACATCCTGAAGTCTACCCATCAACCTTTTATCCACCAATACACAATCTAACAAACTAATTTCATTACATGTTATTTCGTATCTTGTATACTGTACTTATTTAACCTTTTTTCTTAAAATATGTATTACTTATTACCAAACCTCTTTCAATACATAATTCAAATGATGAACAAAAAAAAGAAGCAATTACAGTACAGTACAGTACACTAAGTACAGCAGTTGCTACCATTCATACTTAACTCACTTTATTTTACTGATACATACCTTCTTTGCTACAGAGATGAGTTAGATCAAGGAGTACCTCATCTTATGTGTCTCCATGGCTTATATACAGTAAGCTAAAGGAACCAGCTGTCTGTATGAAACTTATTTCTCAAGTAAGGTCTTTTTCTTTACTCACACTTATGTCTTCACAGACAATGATCTTATGGGTATACACAAGTTGCAGTCATTTTATTCGAAAATCTTCTGCAATACACCTTTCTATTAACCCTTAAACTGTCCAAACGTAGATCTACGTTTTTTCAACATTTGAAAGTATGCAAAAAAAAAAGTAATTTTTTTTTTTTATATATACAGTGGACCCCCGGTTAACGATTTTAATCCGTGCAAGAGGGCTCATCGTTATGCGAAATAATCGTTATGCGAATGAATTTTCCCCATAAGAAATAATGGAAATAAAATTAATCCGTGCAAGACGCCCAAAAGTATGAAAAAAATTTTTTTTTTACCACATGAAATGTTAATTTTAATACACACAAACTGAAAAAGGCATGCACAATTACATGACACTTACTTTTATTGAAGATCTGGTGATGATTGATGGGATGGGAGGAGGGGAGAGCATTATCTTCTTACTGTTTAGAAGGGGAATCCCCTTCCATTAGGACTTGAGGTAGCAAGTCCTTTTCTGGGGTTACTTCCCTTCTTCTTTTAATGCCACTAGGACCAGCTTGAGAGTCACTGGACCTCTGTCGCACAACAAATCTGTCCATAGAGCTCTGTACCTCCCGTTCCTTCAAGACTTTCCTAAAATGGGCCATAACATTGTCATTGAAATAGTCACAAGCACGGCTTGCAACAGCTGTGTCAGGGTGATTTTCATCTATAAAGGTTTGCAGTTCAACCCACTCTGCACACATTTCCTTAATCTTTGAAGTAGGCACAATGGATTCCACAACTGGCATAGGCTTCTCAGGGTTAGCCCCAAACCCTTCAAAATCTTTCTTAATTTCCATACTAATTCTCACCCTTTTTACCACAGGGTTGGCACTAGAAGCTTTCTTGGGGCCCATGGTCACTTATTTTCCAGAAACAGCACCGAAAATACTGTAATAATACGAAATATTCCGAGTGTATGCTTGGATGTTACCGCGGAGGCTGGCTGGTAAACAATGGGACGGAGCGGCACATGTGAGGCTGGCTGAGGGCACATTGGACGCGTCTCGGACGAAAATCGGTATGCGGGTTTTTAATCGGTATGCGCGGCAAAAATTTTGCGATAAAAGTAATCGTTATGCGGAAAAATCGCTATGCGATGCCATCGTTATGCGGGGGTCCACTGTACAGTGGACCCCCGGTTTACGATATTATTTCATTCCAGAAGTATGTTCAGGTGCCATTACTGAACGAATTTGTTCCCATAAGGAATATTGTGAATTAGATTAGTCCATTTCAGACCCCCAAACATACACGTACAAACGCACTTACATAAATACACTTACATAATTGGTCGCATCGGGAGGTGATCGTAAACCGGGGGTCCACTGTATATATATTTGAAAACATCTAAAAAAAACTTTGATCTACTTTTCTTTTTTGTTATATTTGAAAATATGTAAAAAAAAGTAAATCTACTTTTGGAGCACTACGCATGTGAACATAGATCTGCTTGGACAGTTTAAGGGTTAACAACCATTTACTGTATCTATACCTACTGGTATGTTTAAATATTTAAAAAAAAATAAGCTATGTATTAATATTGCTGACAGACCCCATTTACCTAATACAGAAATTACTGGCATGCAGAATTACAGGGCTTTCTAGTGGCAAAGTTTAATTTAAAAAATTATATTTCACAAAATACTGCCTCACCTGTGTGATGATTGTCCGATATTCAAGTGGCATGTTCATTCTCATGAGCATCACCATGGATACAAAATACATTCCCTGGAAATTAGTAAAAAACTGAAGTCAAAGTAGTATAGGAAAATATACATTTTTTGCACACTAAAGTAAAATGCTTTATATTTATACCCTTATTTGGTAACAATAATGGGTGTGCAGATATATAAGCTTAAAGTAAATTTTAACAGTAATTTTATCTCCAGTTTTTTTTTCCTAATACAGTGGAACCTCATTTTTCGGCCGTAATCCGTTCCAGAAAGTTGGCCTCAATTTGAAGCAATATTTCCCACAAGAATTAATGTAAATACAATTAATCCATTCCAGACACCCAAAAACATTCACAAAAAATACATTTTTTAAAGATTAATTATAGTTTTACAAAGAGAGCTAAATAAAATAAATAAACATTTAAATCACTATTACATACCTTTATTGAAGACTCTTATTGGCTTGTGGACAGAGGATGGATTGATTATTGTTTGGAAGGGGACTCCCCCTACATAAGGACTTCAGGTATCAAAGCTCTCTCTGGGGTTATTTCCCTCCCTCCCTGCTACACTCCCTGCCTGCCTGCTACACTCCCTGCATGCCTGCTACACTCCTTGCCTCCCTTCCACACTCCCTGTTTCCCTGCTACACTCCCTGCCTCCCTTCCACACTCCCTGTTTCCCTGCTACACTCCCTGGCTCCCTTCTACACTCCCTGTTTCCCTGCTACACTCCCTGCATGCCTGCTACACTCCCTGCTGGCCTGCTACACTCCCTGCCTCCATGCTATACTCCTTGCTACACTCCCTGCATGCCTGCTATGCTCCCTCCCTCCCTCCATGCTACACTTTCTGCCTGCCTGCTACACTCCCTGCCTCCCTTCCACACTCCCTGTTTCCCTGCTACACTCCCTGCTTGCCTGCTACACTCCCTGCCTCCCTTCCACACTCCCTGTTTCCCTGCTACACTCCCTGCTTGCCTGCTACACTCCCTGCATGCCTGCTACACTCCCTGCATGCCTGCTACACTCCTTGCTTGCCTGTTACACTTCCTGCATACCTGCTGCACTCCCTGCCAGCCTGCTACACTCCCTGCCAGCCTGCTACACTCCCTGCCTCCCTTCCACACTCCTTGTTTCCCTGCTACACTCCCTGCTTGCCTGCTACACTCCCTGCTTACCTGCTACACTTCCTGCTTGCCTGCTACACTCCCTGCATGCCTGCTACACTCCCTGCATGCCTGCTACACTCCCTGCCCATGGTGGCTTATTTCACAGTCTCACTTAATAAACAAGCTACATCAGCTTCCTTGATTTGTTCTTTCTTTTCTAGGATAGAAGTGATTGTTAATTTGTTTTTCCCATACATCCCATGGTAATTTATTTCACAGTCACACTTAATAAAATAAACCACCAAAAAATAGATTTTAAGGAAATGTTTGAATGAATTCATGGAGTACATGCTCACTCGCCAACAGACAAGGGGAGACTGACTCATCTACGTGTGGTGTCCTGGGCCGACGCGTCTAATATGGCTGATATACGAGGCAACGGCCGAAATATGGAGCAAAACTTCTGCCTAAAAACCGGCCTAAATACGAATCGGCCAATAAACGCAGTGGCCAAAACATGAAGTTCCACTGTACTGTAATAACATGTTTTAAAACACCAAGTCTGGGGCACCCTGTACTGTGATCCAGACTTGTGAAACACCCTGTACCATATTACAGACTTGAAACACACTGTATCATGGATCTAGATTTGTAAGACACACTGTACCATAGGTCTAGACTTGTGAGACACACTGTACCATGTGTCTTGACTTGTGAGACACATTATACAAAAAAGTATAGTAGTACAGCCTCTCCTCACTTAACGACAGAGTTCCGTTCCTAATACTGCGTCAATAAACGAATTCTTTGCTAAATGAGGAGCATACTATAATGGTAGTGGGTTTATGTCAACAATCTTTGATATTGCTTTAATGTCACCCTTGCACCATTTATAACATTTTTAGTATATTTTTAAATGTTTATACAGTAGTGTACTGTATATTGTACTACTACAACAACTTATATCACTACTACTACTACCACTAGTATTCCACCTCACTCTGAGCCTATATACACTGTGTCCATGTACTATTTGTAACGGCTTGACAAAGCTCCTGGAGAGAGAAACGTTGCCACAATAAAATGTTACATTAGTTGCACTTATGTCCTTTTACTTTACATACTGTCAGTAATTTTACCAACATATATACAACCCTATGTTTTATATGCTATATTGGGTTTTTGTTCCATCAGCTGGGAACAAATCTGTCACAAAAAACTAGGGACACCTGAACTTTTCTCTTTTCTAGTTTGTATTAGTCCTTTCTCTTGTCACACTGTCAAACTCTATACTGTAACAATATACTTACCATCAGCTGTGCCAGAACAAGTACAATGATGTTTGAAGATTTGCTGCTAGACACTGCATAGAAGAACTGCAATAATAAAATAAACAATATACTACAGTGCATCATATAACTAGTATGTATAATGCTTTGAGCTACAAATACCTAGTCTTTGTGTAGAATTTGATAAATAATGGTGACCTAACAACTTTTCTGAAAAACATACCAATATTTTATCAGTATTTGGATTTCTCTACCACTTTCACCTGTTTTCTTCCCTAACTCTTCAGTCTTCTGTTATCTCTTAAAAATGTCTGTTTTCTTTCATAACTGTCTGGTACCACCAGGCCAAAAAATCAGTTATAACAGCTTTAGACACAGCTGACATGCAGAGCTAGCAGTCTCCATGGTTAATTGTGCCCTATACAGAAAATAGTTTGTAATACTGTACTTCAAAGCATATTCTGTCTAGGTTTCAATGAACTATCAACATACTAAAGATAGCAGAGGTGTGAAATTAAAATACTTTATTACTAAGACCTGCAGCAAATAAACTGTTTAATTCAACAATTTTCATAAGTAAACTTCACAAAAGACTCTTAAGCCTAAGATGTGAGTGCAAAGGATTTTATTACAGGTTCTAAGCAAATCCTATATCCTTATATTAGGGGATGGCAGAGATTCACAACCTGGTTATGACAAATCCTGATCACTGCATACATACCTACTCATATTAAACAGCAAATACATCATGATAATAATACATATTATTATTATTATTAATTAATAATAATAATAATAATAATATTATTATTATTACAGTATATTCATGGGAAAGTGCCAAACCCAGAAGAGTCATACAGTTCCTGGGGAATGGGAGGCACTCAGGTTTGATCCAAAGAAAAGGAGGGTAACTCAAAGTCTTCCAATCAAGACACTCCTTTTCAAGGAACTGTAAATGCATAAAGGAGGGTGAGCATGGACTTGCCCTCTCAGAATCACATTCTCCATGATAAGCTCCAGAGGCACCTGGGCTACCATAGCCAAAGAGCCAAATGCCCTTTCAGTGTTCAGAGATTGATTTCTGAGAGAGCTTAAGCCCTGACAGTGTATGCCAACAAAAATTTCTTGCCTCAATTAGAAAGGAGCTTCGCATTGCCATCAAAACCAGAGATAAGAGGGCTGTTTGTCTCAAAGTTTGAGGCCACAGTTTGGACATGAATAAACAATCCTTTAACTCTTTCAGGGTCGGTCCTATACATGTACCGCTTGAGAGCCAGTGTCGGTCCCGTATTTACACGCCAAAATTCTAGCGCCTGCAAATCTGGTGGAAGAAAGCTGGCAGGCCTACATATGAAAGAATGGGCCTGAGTGGTCAGTGTACGCAGTATAAAAAAAAACCTGCAGCATGCAGTGCATAATGAGAAAAAAAAACTCCACCCTTGTTTTTGGTTTAAAACAGTGACTTTGCAGTGTATTTTCATATGGTATTTATGGTTGCATTCTCGTTTTCTTGGTCTCATTTGACAGAAAGGATGATATATTACAGAAATAGAGATGATTTTGATTGGTTTCACGATGAAAAGTACCTTGAAATTGAGCTCAAATTAGCGGAAATGTTCGATTTTTGCCGATATTCAAGAGAAAACAAATCACGGCACTCGTCCAATACACGTCAACTGGTGAGTAATATTCTTTCACAAGTGTGCTGATGTTATTTATACCATTTTTACAATAATGCAGTAGTGTGCATAACAGTAGATCTTCTATTTTTTTGTGAGAATTAAAATTCAAAATGGAAAGCAAGAGTAATATAAGAGGGGCCTGGAGACATGACTAATGAACAGAGAAAATATTATTTTAGTTCCAGGAATGTCTGTCTTTTCTTTTCTGGACCCTATTTTGAAATTGGCATCTTCTGAAATTTCTGTGAAATTGGCCAAATTGCCAATTTTTGACCACTTTATTGGGTAGTTGAAATCAGTAAATGGGCGATTTCTTGTACTCAATTGATAGAACAAATGGAGTTCTAGCGAAATAACTATGATTTTAGCCGACTGGAACAATGGAACTGGCTGAAAATATGGCTCAAATTGGGCAAAATCGCCAATGCACAAATATCGCTGATTTCACTAACTTCGCGTGAGTGTAATTTCGTAAGTTTTCCATCAAATTTCATACTTCTGGTGTCATTACCTTCGGAAAAAGAGTATATCATTTCATAAGAAAAAACTTTTTTTTTTTTTTTTTGAGAATTTTTCGACCTTGAGAGCGAGTTAATAACCCTTTCAGGGTCCAAGGCCCAAATCTGGAGTCACGCACCAGTGTCCAAGAATTTAAAAAAAAAAAAAATGTTATTTTTTCTTATGAAATCGTAGATAATCTTTTTGTGAAGGTAATAAAACAAAAAGTACGAAATTTGATGGAAAATTGACGAAATTATGCTCTCGCGAATTTTGATGTGTCAGCGATATTTACGAATCGGCGATTTTGCCGACTTTGACTCCCATTTTAGGCCAATTACATTATTCCAATCAACCAAATTCTTAGCTATTTCACTAGTATTACTTCTATTCTATCGATTGAGCACAAGAAATCGCCAAGTCAACTGTTTCAACTACAAAATAAAGTGATCGGAAATTGTTAATTTGGCCAATTTAACACAAAGTTCAAAATATTCCAATTTCAAAATAGGGTCCAGAATAAACAATGTAGGCATTCCTGGCACTAAACTAACATTTCCTCTGTTCATTAGTTATGTTTTGAGGCTTTACAAATAAATTCCATTTTCATTTTTTATTCACATAATGAATTTTTATTCACACCAAAAAATAGAAGATTTACTGTTATGCAATACTGTAATAATTGTATAAATATCATCACCATATTTGTGAATGTATATTAGACCCACCAGCTGACGTGTATTAGATGTGTGAGGTCGTTTGTTTACTCCTGAATATCGGCAAAAATTTAACATTTCCGCTACTTTGAGCTCAGTTTCAAGCCATTTCCAGTGCTAAAACCAATCAAAATCATCTCTATTTCTGTAATATGTCTTCCATTCTATCAAATGAGACCAAGAAATCGCAAATACAACTATAAAAAAACATACGAAAAAACACTGCAAAGTTGCTGTTTTAATCGAAAAATCATGATTTCAGTTTTTTTCTCTCATTATACACAGTGTGCTGCAGGATCTGTTTTATGTGGTGCACACATACCACACAGATGTATTCTCTCATATCTAGGCCCAAATGTACCACTCACAGTTTATCAGAGTGAGCTGAGCTCATGGCGTAGATCTACGGTTTGGACACTCACCGTAAAGCCGTAGATCTACGGGACGGACCCTGAAAGGGATAAATGAATAACCTGAAAATGAGGGCTGCCGTTTCTTGAATAATGCTGTTGGAAGAAAGAGGTACAGAACCTAGAATTATCATGAACACAGGGTCCTAGCATATGCTGCTACTGCGAATGAAACTAAATGTGGGAAAACAAGCCCAAGAAAGGAGTTTCCCACTGCTCCACTAGAGCCTGAAAACTTCATAATGGACTCACGAAATCATAATGACACGATTGCAAACAAGCCACGGTACGGATGGGGACTGAACTCACAGCAAATGTGTTGTAAAACTCCAGGCCAGCGCATAAGCCAGCTGGTCTGGAGTTGTATGACTCATCTGCCACGAGTTCAATCCCAACCTGTACTGTGGTTTGGTTCATGATGGAGATTTCACTCATGTGGCACTTGAAGGTAACCTGACACATGAAATGAAATAAAGAAAGGAGGAGATGAATGTTCTCTTCTTGCATAAGATCACAACTCTCTGTGAGGGCACAGAATGAAACTGACACTCAAGTTGGGACAGAGAAGCTGAGGGAGAGATGACCTGTTAATCTGACCAGACTGCAAGTGTCAAATCTTTTACTGACCCCCAGCAAATGATTGCTTTAGTTCTTTCCAGCTCACATGAAAGGCAAGCTAAAGAGGATGTCATCTAATTGAAATCTTACTGTACACATACAGAGTGGCTTCCCCAACATGTCAATGAGGCATCTAATGTTAGTGTATTTGTGGGAGAGGAAAAATTCATGGAAACCCACCTCAGAAGGTTTAACAAACTCAAGAGTTACTACCACACTGGGGGAACAAAAATGTCTTACAGGCAATGGTTGTTGTTGGCAATGTCATCTACAGTGCTAGTCATGCCGTGATGAAAATCAAAGGCCTACCATACAGGAGGGTCTTTTTCGTCAGTGCATTATGCCGGGTAGCAGCCGTTAGCATGATGTCATGGCCTGCCGCCACACTCCACAGTAACTCCTCAGCGCTCATGTGGCTGCCGTAGTGAGAGGAAGTGTTGCACTTTTGTCTCTCATCTGCCCCATCTTTTGTCCAGTGTTCCCTTTGGTTTTGGGGCTATACATGTTTTATTATGGGTAAAAGGAAGTCTTTAACACCTGAAACTATAGCTCAAATCATAGGGCTTCACAAAGCTGGGCACCAGACGAAAGAAATAGTTGAGAATGATGATGTGTGTGAACATTCACTGAGGAACTGGGTGCAGTGTTTCAAGGCTGGTGGTGGTGTTGAGTTACCGTCTAACAAACCTCGGCCTGGCCCCTCGAAGAAGACATCTATTTGTACCTTAACTGTGTTAAAGAAGCACTTAGAGAGTACACCTAAGATAACTGCTAGAGAATTGAAAGAAAAGAACTTACATCTTCTCTCAGAGGTGTCTGTAAGAACTGTTAACAGACATGCATCAGAACTGGGCTACAGTAGTCACTGCCAGGTTAAGAAACCGATCCTCTCCAAACCACAAGACATGTAGGCTGGATTATGCAAAGAAATATCTTCATTGGAATCCTTAACAGTGGTCTGAAGTACTTTGGAGTGATGAAGCAACCTTCACCGTCACCTGTAACCGTGAGGGACATGTGTACTGGCCTAGAGGTAGTGACTCCATAGACCTACGCTACACCTGTGGGACCACCAAATACCCAGACTTGCTCATGGTTTAGGGGTGTTTCAGTGCTCAGAGTGTTGGTGAACTTACTGTGCTTCCCAAAAACCAGTATATGAA